GGGTTTAGGGTTTAGGGTTTAGGGTTTAGGGTTTAGGGGAGCATACTAGCATGATAAGGGTTCCAGAATCGGTGGTTTCGGGGCGGGGGTATAGGGACCATGAGTGAAAGTGAACACTACTGTTAATTACTCCAGACCTCTCTACTACGGGGATCTGCCAGGGTTTTGCAATGTTGCTTTTTGACGTTAGGGTTAGGGCTTGCCTGTGGTTCGCCACGTCCAGGCGGGAAGTGCCGCTTGCAGAGCTCCTAGCGCAAGAGAACATCAGCATCCAGGACGGACAAAAGTCTATGTTTGAGTAGCTGAGTAGGGAACATGTAACCTTGTGGGGCCTAAACTAACCCAAAAACCTAAACCCAAATTTCTGAAACCCTAAACCCGAATCCTACCAAATTCCAACCATTGTCGGGCTAGGATACTCAGCACGTAGGTGCCTTGCAAATGTTGATTCAGTGGATTTTGCGTAGGTCTGAGGTCCCCTAAAGCCTAAACCATCCGAGACCCTTAAACCCTTAAGCCCTAAGGGTTCAGGGTTTAGGGTTTAGGGTTTAGGGTTTAGGGTTTAGGGTTTAGGGTTTAGGGTTTAGGGTTAGCCCTTAAGCCCTAAACCCTTTAACCCCACTTTGGGTATGAGGTTTGCCCCTCGGGGTTTGGAGTTTCAATGTGGAGTTCTTTTAGAGTTCTGGATGGGTTGCGGTTTGGGGTCATTGGGTTTATCCCCCAGGGTTAGGGGTTTAGGGTTTAGGGTCCCCGTGTTCCCAGGCTCCAAACACCAAGAAGTTCTAGGAAGGAGCATAAGGTCCAAGAAATAATATAGGGGCCTGAACCATTGCTAATGTTATCCCTCCGGGTTCCCCTGCTATATTTCTAGTATGAGATACCCCAAAACTTTATGCCAATTACCAGGCCCCAGTATTGCGGACAACGCCTATCCAGCCCATGGGCCATCCCTTAAGTAGTGCAGGGGCCTTAAGAATCAGAATAGGGTTTTGGGGCTCATGATACTATAACTATAATAAGGAACCCCAAAACAGTATTGGTAATTATTTACGCCCCTACATTAGTGGACCTAGCTTAGCTTTGTGCCGGGCTTCCGAAAGCCACACAGCCGTTAGTAAATAGCAGAAATCTTCAGAAAAGAAGACCCTTCTGGCAGGTTGTCTGGGAAAAACTCTCCCCTAAACCCTAAACCCTAAACCCTAAACCCTAAGCCCTAAACCCTAAACCCTAAACCGTCAACGATTGAAGCCCGAAATCGTAGACAGAGCCCTAACTTCAAAAGCCTCAACCCCCAGCGAGAAAAGACCAAACACCAAAACAAAACACGTTTAGGGTTTAGGGTTTAGGGTTCAGGGTTTAGGGACCTTGAACCCTAAATTCTAAATTCCCTAAATCCTTTGCAGGAAGACGAGGCTAAAGCGGCTGAACACAGCATCGAAGAAAAGCAGCCGCATGAGCCCAGGGGTCCTTAGAGGTTTTGGTGGTTGGGCTGTTCGTGTAACGCCGGTTACTCGCTAGGATCTGGTAAGGAATACAGATTCCCGGTCTGGTTGTCTAATCCGTTCTCCATCAAGAAACATGTGGTGGATTTGGAAGTTGGACGGGGGCACAGGCATGGACACCTGTATCTTCACATATGGTATAACCATTGAGTTGTTCATTCGTCTGTTCGTTCATCATTCACCCCTTCATTCATCCATTCATTAATTCACTCACTCTTTCATTCAGTCACTCATTCGTTTATGCCTTTGTTAGTTCATTCGCTCGTTATTTTGACTTATCAGTCATGCATTCTTTCATTCTCTCCTACTTCTATTCATTCATTCCTTCCTCCGTTCCTTCCTTCGCTCATTCATTCCATTCCCTTCCATTCCATTCCATTCCATTCCATTCCGTTCCGTTCCGTTCCATTCCTTCATTCAGGCAAGCCATCACTCATCAATTCAATATGTGCCTTGTCTTTTCAATGTGTGTACATGCATACATCTGTCTCCCTCTCTCTCTCTCGCGCGCTCTATACATACGTACATACATACATACATACATACATACATACCTACATACATACATACACACATGCATACATGCATACATGCATACATGCGTACATGCATACCTGCATACCTGCATGCATACATACATACATACATACATACATACATACATACATGCATGCATGGACATAAATATGTGCAGACGCATGTGTCCTCACAGCTCTATATGATACAGTACATCGTGAACGTTTATATGTATATGTGTATGTAGATGTGTATATGTAGCGTACATGTGCAGATATACATATGCCGTACATGTACTTGCATGCATGCATGCATGCATGCATGCATGCATGCATGCATGCATGCATGCACATGTACATGAAATTACTGAGGTTAGCGTGTGTGTGTGTGTGTGTGTGTGTGTGGAAAGCGTATCCAGCCCTGTAAGATGGAAAACTACGTCACTCATAAATCCTGTCAATTTGGGAGTCTCTTCAATATCACGGAAGATCGCTGAATACGAATCGGTAATGGATCCCACGTTTTTTGTGGAACCTAGAAGAAAAGCGCCTCTCATTCTTTGCCAGATTCCCGCTGCGTCAGCATCTCCGATTCTCCTGTGCCCCGGACCGGTCGGACGTTGCCGACGTTTGCTTAGACTACTGCTACCTGCAACTGCTTACTCCTTCTTTTGCTAGTACTGCTACCATTACTACCTATCACAACAACAACAACAGCAACAGCAACAACAACGACAAAATCAACACCACCACCACCACCACCACCGCCACCGCCACCACCACCACCACCACCACAAGAACAACCATACCAGCCACAACAACTGCAACAACCCCAACAACCACAAGCACAAGCACAAACACACGCACAAGCACAATTTTTGCAATTGAACGCTGCGCGAGCGTGCTCTGCGCTTGGCGGGCATACGCACAAGCACAAGCACAAGCACAACCACAACAACAACAACAACAGCAACAGCAACAGCAACAGCAACAGCAACAGCAACAGCAACAGCAACAGCAACAGCAACAGCAACAGCAACAACAACAGCAACCACAACAACAGCAACTACCACTGTTGCTGCTACTGCTACTGCTACTGCTACTACTTATACTGATACTACTAGTACCTCTTCCACTACTACTCCTACTACGGCTGCTGCTGCTGCTGCTTCTACTACTGCTGCTGCTGCTACTACTACTGCTGCTACTACTACTGCTACCAGGTACTAGGTACCAGGTATATACTAGGTACTAGGTATTAGGTTCTAGGTACTAGGTACTAGGTACTAGGTACCAGTACTGGTGCCAGTACCAGAGCGAGTATTGGCACGCGTATTTCTACTGCTACTACGACGACGACAAGTACCACCTACTACTACTACTACTACTACTACTAATACTACTACTACTACTACTACTACTACCACCACTACCACTATCCCTACCCCTACCCCTACCACTACCACTACCACTACCACTACCACTACCACTACCACTACCACTACCACTACCACTACCACTACCACTAGCACTACCACTACCACTACCACTACGACGACTACAACTACTACTACTACTACTACTACTACTACGACTACTACTACTACTACGACGACTACTACAACTGCTACTACTACTGCTACTACTACTACTACTACTACTACTACTACTACTACGACTACCACTACTACTACTACGACTACCACTACTACTACTACTACTACTACTACTACTACTACTACTACTACTGCTACTACTGCTGCTACTACTACTACTACTACTACTACTACTACCACCACTTCCTCATGCTGCAGCTACTGCTCCTGCTGCTGCTGCTCCTGCTCCTCATGCTGCAGCTCCTGCTGCTGCTGCTGCTGCTGCTCCTGCTCCTGCTGCTGCTGCCGCCGCTGCTGCTGCTGCTGCTACGACCACATAACAACACTGACAACTTGATGATGACGAAGATGATGACGGCGTTGATGTTATGGTGGTGAGCATCATGAAGTCGATGGCCTTCATCTTGCCGCTAGACAGTTTAAACTTCAGGTCTTCAGGGCGAGTAGCAATAGTGTAGGGCAGTAAGACGAGTGTGCTCGGATTCTGTGTGGGTGTGTGGCTTTGGAGTTCCTGAATTATGACGGGACATGGTTCACACAAAAAAACTTGTACGGGGCAAGCAATCGCTGAAGGATGGAAGGCAGTATTTTCAGGTCAGGAAGATTGAAGACTTTCGAACAGCCTGCCCTAAACCCTAAACCCTAAACCCCCAACCCCAAAACCCTAAACTCTAAACCCAAAAGCTCCAGATTCAGGAAGTTGGGACTTGGTTGAACTAGGCCTTGGGGGGTGTCGGGTGTAGGGTTGTAGCCGTCTGGGGTGGGTCAGCCGAGGCCTTCGGGATCATGCAGAATAAGCCCGAAACCCGCAACCCTAATTTAGGGTTTAGTGTTTAGGGTTTAGCAGTTCGGGGTTTAGGGTTTAGGGCCCCGAAAACCTAAACTGTAAACCTTAAGCCCTCAGTCCTAGACGCCGGCTGCAGGTACAGCGACGGCGAGAGCGGGCCCGGCACGGCGCTGTGTCGAAATAGGCGAGTTTTCCAAGCCCTGCTAACTGTGGGGCTTGGGGCCGTTTCTGCGCCCCCTAACCCGTAGGCTGCCCCACCCGCGGCCCTGCATTGAACTTTCTTTGTTCCGCGCCGCGCTTTACCAGCAGGGCTGTGGCAGCAACAGGCATGTCGGAGAACATCGGTCCCGCCTTGGGGAGCTGCTGTTCCGCTTTCGGACAGGCAGAGCTGCCAGAGCCCCATGAGCAGCAGTTTGTCGTGAGCATGCGGGCGGATTGTGCGCCCGATGAGCCGGATGCTGCAGCTCAGACGGAAGAAGTTGCTTGTATGCCAGCTGACAAAGATGCCGGTGATGAAGAAAGTCCTTCGACAGAGGAAGGTGTGTTGGATCTGACTCAGCACAGCAGTCGTCAAGAGCTGATGCGAGCCATCTCGATGCGGAAGACGTTGCAACGAGCTGCCAGGCTTTGGCGCTTGCGACCTCCAGCTTTGAGCTGGGAGAAGCGGGCACGCCTTTACGACGCCTCCAGCCCGACAGATGCCTTCGACGTGTTCCTGTCCCACACCTGGCTGACAAGTGGGTGGTTGAAAGCCTTGTCGTTACTCATTCGATTCGGCTGGCCGACTCTTTTGCTCGGATGGCTTATCGGTGCAGCTATATCCTTTCCTCTCTGTTTGACAGGGATTCTGCCTCAGTTCAGAGGCACGCGCGTGGTTTTGGATTCTGAACCTGAGATTCCAGATGGCTATTGGGTCCTCATCTTCTCCACTGCTGGCGCCTTGTTGGGCCTCCTTGCGTTTCCTTACTTGCCCAGCCGTTCGGATCGATGCTTCTTGGACTTTGTGTCTATCAGCCAGACCAACGAGCGGCTCATGCAAGGGGGGATCGACAACATCGGCAACTTCCTGGCGGCCACCGCTGAACTGCGGGTTCTTTGGAGCGAGCCCTACCTGACGAGGACCTCATCGCGCAAGCCTACCTATAGTCTCCATTGTAGTTCCTTTTTTTGGTTTAACCAAATATATATTAACGAGTTTATAAGGTATCCCCAAAAAGGAACTACAATGGAGACTATAGGTACGGTAATACCCTAAGCCGCACACCTTAAACCCCTTGTCAGGCCTTAGACCCTGCATGAATTCGGAACCACGAGCCGCGGCGTCTAAACCCAAAGCCCTCCACCCTTCAGGGTAACTGCACACGGTATGGTCCTAGGCCGTGACCATCAAACCAAGCACTCAACCAAATCCAACAACCAGGTGCATCTTATGCCCCGGTGGCACTTTATGCCGGTGCGCTGTTTTTTCGGTGTTTTTCCGTTTGTTTTGGTATTTTTTCCGCAAGCAAGCAAGCAAGCACGCAAGCAAGCAAATCGCCAAAAGAGGGGGCGTGTTTAAGATATAGGATGAGTCCGAACCGCGAAATGAGGGGGCATGTTTAAGATATATGATGAACTGGAATCGCCAAATGACGGGTGTTTGTTTAAGATATATGATGATCCGGAATCGCGAAATGAGGCGGTTTGTTTGAGTTTTAAGATATACGGTGAATCCGGTATGATGAACTCGAATCTCCAAATGAGGGGCCGTGTTTAAGATATAGGAAGAATCCGGATCGCGAAATGACGGGGCGTGTTCAAGATAGATGATGAACCGGAATCGTCACATGAGGGGGCGTGTTCAAGATGTATGATGAACCGGAATCTCCAAATGACGGGGTGTGGTCAAGATATATGGCGAATCTGGTATGATGAACCGGAATTGCCAACTGATGGGGCGTGTTTCAGATATATGATGAACTCGAATCGCTAATTCAGGGGGCGTGTTTAAGATATATGATGAACCCGAATCGCCAGATTGAGCTATATGATGAGTCCGAATCGCTCAGCCGAGGGGCATGTTCAAGTTATATGACGAACTGGAATCGCCAAATGAAGGGGCGTGTTTTGACATATATGATGATTTCGAATCGCTAAATCCGGACCGACAATCTCAAACCCCACTGTACTCCACAAGCAACAACAGAGGATTTGGTGCATCTTCGAGCTTGCGGCATTCCGCAAGATGAACCCGAAGGGAAAGATCCGCGTGGTACCGCTCCGGGTCGATGCGGCTTGTGGCCGGGTGTTTCTCTTTGCTTTGTTAGTTGCTATTTTTTACCCATCCATTCGTGGCGGTTTCCGGTCCCGCAGTGTTTGGTTTCTCGCTGTCGTCTCCTTCGTCTTCTTGGCCTTCGGTGTTGCGCTGGTCCGCGTTGTCGTGCAGTGCCAACGATGCGTGCAGAAGATGATGTTCCAGCTGTCTACGTTTGATGTCACAACATTGCAGTGCAGCAAGCAGCGGGACAAGGAAAGCATCCACGCGGCGATCGTGCATTGGTACGGCAGCTTGGACGCCTTCACCGCTCACGTGCGCGGGCCCTTCCGCATCGAGGTGCTGACGCTCATGCGATCTGAGGGTATCATTCCCTTCGGCTACATTCTGGTCGGTTTGGCCTCTGCTGCTGCTTTGCCGCTGGGGAACCTGAACTCTATGTTGGTTGTGGGTGCCTCCTGGGAAAGCTGGCTGATCTATGCCCTGGCCTTTCTGGTGACCTTGGACATGATTTGGTTCCCCTCCGCGACTTTCCTGGCCATCACGGCCTGCGAGTATGTGATCTGGTCCGAGCAGAAGTACAAGCTGTGTAGGTACTCGGCGATCGGCGTGATGTTTGCCTTCCTCATGCTCGCAGGCATCGTTGCTTCTTCCTTGGCGCTCAGCTCATGGGTCGGTGTCTTGTCGTGGCTGTGCGTGGCTACGGTCTTCGCCGGCTTCTCCTGGCGGATTTCAAAGGCTTCCGCGATGGCCTCCACGGAACTCGAAAGGCGTCTCGATCTGTGAGTGCTCAGCAAGCTCTTCCTTTCCACTATAGGCCGAGCGTTCATCTAACAAATGATGTTCGCCGGTAGTTTGTAGGTGTATAGACCTGCCACAGAGCGAGCGTTCGTCTAGCGAACTAGTGTTCGCCGGTAGTTTGTAGGTGTACCTGCCACAGAGCAGGGTTTTGGAATTCTGCGTGAGCAGCGCTTTGCACAGTTCCCACCGTTTTCAAGCTGGTTTTTGGCGAATCTAGGACGAATTCAGGAAGCGCCCTGTGACATCCAGTAGCTGCCAGCTCTGTTCCTTTTCAAAAGCGCAAAGCACACGCAGATCGTCCCCCTTCGGCGGGTGCCCCTGCAGACAACCTGGGCATTTTGAGAATCTCTCAGCTCATATTGCCCCGAACCCTAAACCCGGAGCCCTAAACCCTATAAACCCCATGAGCCCTAATATAAATGCCCCGAACCCTAAACCTACAGCCGGAGGGTGCGCTGCTCGAAAGTTTGGTGCCGAGTGCCCTCAAGCCCAGGATTCTTGTATTCATCGTCGTTAGGCACGGACTTTTAGGACAGCACAAAGTAGCTAAGTAGGTACCTTGGGCGGCACGTTTTGGCGGCACTCTTCAGCGCAGCAATAGTCTTGAGTGCTCCCGTTTCTGCGCTTCCGGCCTGCTCCTGCGAGTAGGGCGGAATCTTCGTGGCGAGCGTGGAGACCGCAGTACTATCCAATGCAAGGTTGCTTGCAGGCTAGAAAAAGTCAAGACGCTGAATACGATTTTGAATAGATAGCCGCTGCCGCAAGGTTTGGATTCAAGGATGTTTCACCCTAAGCCCCCAGTTACCTACTATATAGGGCCTTAGGGGCTCTAGTACCCTATATAGTAGGTACCTGGGGGGTTAGGGTCAGATCAGCATCATTGCCATCCTCGCTGTTTTCGTCGTCGTCTTGGTAGCTGTTTGACTCCCGAGCTCCCAAAAATGTTCAATTAGTTTAGGGTTTAGGGTTTAGGGTTTAGGGTTTAGGGTTTAGGGTTTAGGGTTTAGGGTTTAGGGTTTAGGGTTTAGGGTATACGATCGACCCCCAACACCCCTATGCCTGCCTATTGAAGCACCAAAGCCCGGTAAAGCACTGTAGACACCCGATGAAGCCGTTTTCGAGTTAATTCTGAATGCCCCGGCCTGATTCAATTGTTTGTATAAGGAAGTCATATAAAGAAGAAGCCCCGCAGCTGTAGGTTTTCCTAGGGCTCAGGTATCGGCAACTCCCACCCCAATCACAAACCCTCTAAGGCCCAAGCAGAACCCTATGTGTTTCGGGTTTACGGTTCAGGCTAAACCCTAAATCCTAAACCCTAAACAATACAGTAAACCCTGAAAGACTTAAACAGAACCCTACACCGAGAGACCCTAAGTCCTAAGCCCTAATAAACCCTAAACTCTAGGCCCTAAGCCCTAGGCCCTAAGCTAAAAGCCTCAAGCCCTAAACCCTAAGCCCTATGGCCGATGCCCTAAACCCTAAACCCTGATTAGGGTTTAGGGTTTAGGGTTTAGGGTTTAGGGGCCCTAAATCGTAGGAGACCTCCCCCTCGCAGGTCGGACCTGCGCGAGAGGTATCCGAAGCAGCGAGTCCCAGGGGGACACTTCCCTTCTGTGGTGCTTGCAGTCTTTTTTGGGGGGTTTAAGGGCTTAGGGTTTAGGCTTGAACCTTAAACCCGATTCCCTAAACCCCTACACCCTAAACCCAAAACCCCTAAACCCTAAACCCTCTTGTCGCAGTTCTTGCCCAAGCCGAGTGATTCTGGTGCTACCCGTCACTTCGAGGATGCGCCGTCGTCCTTTCCAAAGAGGTCTAAACCTTAAGTTAAATTCCTTGAATGCTAAACCCTGAATCCTACATCCCGACATCCTAAACCCTAAAACCCTAAATCCGACATCCTAAACCCTAAACCCCGACATCCGACATCCTAAATCTTAAAACCCGACATCCGACATCCTAAGCCCAGAAACCCGGCATCCGACATCCAAAACCCTAAAACCTGACATCCGACATCCTAAGCCCAAAATCCGGCATCGAACTTCTAAAGCCCAGACCCCAAGCCAGCTTAGGCTGGAGACCCAGCTGGCACTTGCCTGTAGCTTCGCGGCACACCTGAATGGGTTCAGGGTTTAGGGTTTAGGGTTTCTGGGTTCAGGGTTTCGGTTTTTGAAATTTGGAGCTGAAGGTGCAAAGGTCAGGGCCTGGGGTTTAGGCTTTAAGGTTTAGGGTTTTAAGGCTCAGGGCTTTGGTGCTAGCCATTCTGGGGTTGAGAGTCGCATCTGAATGCAGAGTCTTCTGCAGGAGTGGTTCTTGCCATTTCAGTTTCATTGTACCTCATCAAGCCCTAAACCCTAAACCCTAAACCCTAAAACCCTAAACCCTAAACCCTAAGCCCTAAACCCTAAACCCTAAACTCTACAGGGGATGAATGACTGGAAGTCTGAGGGGTTTCAACGATGGAGGGACGATTTCCGTAATTGCGTGGCGTTGGGCTCTCGCGGGGGATCATGAGCAGGACATCATGGAGGGATATGCCTTGGGCTGCGCGATCAAGCGACCGGATGTGATTTGGTTTAGGGTTTAAGGTTTAGGGTTTTCAAGCCTACATGCAAAGTCCGAGGTGGAGGCTCAGCGGAATCCTACGCTACAACCGCAGAACGACAGGCACAATAGAGCGTCCGGCAGAGAATGGTTGCGCAACATGCTGCTGCCCAGGAGGAAAGCCATATTTCCTGGCTTTGGGTTTATAGGGTCTGCAAGTTGGCTTGAAAATTACCCTAAACCCTAAGCCCTAAACCGAATTAGGGTCACCGAGTCTGAGGGACCATCAGAGACCTCCTCTGCTGGTGCGCGACCTCCCAGCCTCTGGAGCCTGAGCCCTGGAAACGAAGGAAACCTCCCCACGCTCCCTTCCTCCCTCCCCTCTCCCTTGGGTTTCTGGCACGGTTTAGGGTTGAGGGTTTAGGGCCCAAAGCTTCCGTTCTTTGTTCAAGGTTTTCTAGGTTTGATTTTGGCTTGTAGGTCGTGATGACCAGCAACGCCACAATGAGAATAGGTCCATCGCTTCTCCACGAAGATTCCTCTTTGTTCTGGGGCTTATTGTCACAACTAGCACCAATGTCCCCCGCGCAAACCCTAAACCCTAAACCCTGAACCCCTAAACCCTAAACTCTAGACCCTACACTCTAAACCCTAAACCCCTAAACCCTAAACCCTAAACCCCTAAACTGTAAGACTCCGGCCCCAAGATCTGATCTTGCTGTCTTTACTTTTACTTGCTATGTCAAGCAGACCGCAAGTCCAAAAAGTTCCGAGAGCCTAAGCTCTAAATGGGTGGTTGTCAAAATTATGGTCCCTTTTTGGGTCCTTATTATAATACGGCACCTATTGTTTAGGGTACCCCAAAAGGGACCATAATTTTGACAACTACCTAAATGTGATAAAGATTCAAGCGCCTTATAAGCCCCATGTCCAAAATCTCTAAGCCCCAGAAGGTACTGTATTGTTCCTGTTTCTATGATTGGTAGGTCCTTGAGGGTTCACGTAAGGTCGAAACCCTAAACTCTCAAGCCCCGCGTTCGGACGCCTAAACCTTAAACGCCTTAAGCCCTAAACCCTTCGCCCTACCTTAGCCCCAAACCCTAGACCCTAAACCCTAAACCCCTAAACCCCTAAAGCGTAAACCCTTTAAAGGAACCCAAAGACCGGCCCAGTTCGGCCTCAGCAGCGACTGTCTTCGCAGTGCTGCGCTGGCCCCTGCCGTGCGCCGCACGGAGGAAGAGGTCCAAGACCCGGGAGCCTGGAATAACGACGGGCTTGGGGTTTAGGGTTTAGGGTTTGAGGTTTTGGGTTTAGGTTTAGGGTTTGAGGTTTGGGGTTTTGGTTTAGGGTTTGAGGTTTGGGGTTTAGGGTTTGGGGTTGAGGAGCTTCATGGGTGGTTATAGTTGGGGTTTATAAGTGGGTAACGTAACTATAGTTATAACCCATGTTAGGGGACTTACAACCGCACTTATAACTACTGAACCTCCAAGTCTTCTATGTTTTTGGTACGGATAAGTGAGGCCGGATTCTTAATTTTAGGGTATCAGGGTCCGTGTGTAGTATCTACGTTGGACTTCAATACGGTTGCTATACAGGAATTTGAAGGCCAAAGTGCATACTTTAAACCCCTCAACCCTAAACCCTAAACTCTAAACCCCTAAACCCTAAACCCTAAACCCTAAACCCCTAAACCCTAAATCCTAAACCCTTAAGATGCTCAAGACAGAGAACTCCCGATAAGGCTTGCCGGTTCGAGGGTTCATCGCTTATAGGATTCACGGGTTCAGGATTTTCAGGGCCTAGGAGTTGTAGGGTTGAGTTGTTGAGAGAATTTAATATACTGGCCCTCGTCTTGCTTGCATGGGTGATTGGTCGAGGTGAAAACCATGAGTTTCGCCCCACGCAGTTGCAAACGGAGAATCCTAAACCCTAAACCCGAAACCCTAAACCCTAAACCGTGCTGGGTGGGCGCATAGTTTTTGCTTGAACTAGCAGTTGAGGCCCCTACATGGCGCTTGGGGCTTTCGGTAGTACAGGAATTGGGGCTACCTATGTCTAGCAAACGAGAGACTACAAACCCTACACTTTAGACCCCTAAACCTAAACCCTCAGCCCTAAACCTCAACCCCAAACCCAAAAGCCTGATAAATCCCCCTGTCCTCCAGCGGCTTCATTCCTCTGATTCTCCATCCTACGACGGCTTCCCAGTAGTAGAGTAGGCAACCTTTCAGCTTTTTGGTGGCTATAACCCCTATGTAATCCCAAAGGTTCGCCCTCCTTTTTGGGGGCGAACCCTAAACCCTAAACCCCAAACCCTGAACCCTAAACCCTAAACCCTATAAACATCCCAAATGTTAGGCCTCCAAACACCCAGGATGCTGGGCAAGTCAGGCTTTATGCCTCCGTTCCTAGATATGAGGGTCCAGGGCTCCATCTAAACCCTAAACCCTAAACCCTAAAACCTAAATCCTAAACCCTAAACCCTCAACCCTAACAGTCCAGGAGCCCAAAACCTCCCAGGGTTTAGGCTTGAGGAGAGCATTACGACCCGAAGGACTAAGGATCGGTTGCGACACGTCGGCTTGAGCTTTAGGGCTTTGGGTTTAGGGCTTTGGGTTTAGGGTTTGGGACTTTAGGGTTTTAGGGTTTAGGGTTGGGGACTTTAGGGTTTTAGGGTTTAGGGCTTTAGGGTTTTGGGTTTAGAGCTTTGGGCTTTAGGGTTTAG